GTTGCTTCTTCCCATCGCCTGCACGTCCCCGGCTTTCTGCTCCCAGCGCCCGCAGGAACCCTCCCAGCCCCGTGGGAGGCACCGGCACCTTGGCACCGTCGCGTCCCTGTGAAAACTTCTTGCCCCCCGGGGAGGAAAAGCGCTGCCTTGCCTGTTTGTGAGGTGCCATTAGCGAACCGCCGTGAGGAGGCCGGGGTTAACGCAGCTGTTTCTCTGCCTGCTCTTCCCACAGGGATTCCCTTTGATGGTGGGCTGCGCTGCCTGTGCTGGAAGGTGGGTTTTGCTGGGGGTGCTTCTGTTTCTTGTGAGTGGGGCCTTGGGCTGCTGAAGTACACGTGGTATTTTGTTGGCACTTAGAATTGTAAACAAAACAAACGATCTGGAGCGTAAAAGCCACTCAAAATCAAGAGTAATTTGGGCAGATCAGCACTGGCACACTTGCAGTAGCATTTACTGACGTGGGGCAGCCATCACTTTGGATGACAGAAAGCGGTTGTCTGCTCTCTGCACGGGAACAGCTCTCAGGATTAAGCTAGCAGTGCATTTTGGTCGGGTTAGCTATTGATCAACCCTACAAATGGGTCTGTGTTGAAAACCAGTCCCTGAAACATGCCTGACTGTTTCTTGGCAAAGTAGTGGGCTTTCTGGAGAAAGCTCCCAATGTTTTCAAAGAGCCAGTTGTAGCCACTGTGTTTGATTTGCTCATCTTTCAGGTATAACAGCTCATTCTCCAGACACTGATCCGTGTGTGTCTGTCTGTCTTCCGTACAGATACTCCTGAACTACCTCCCTTTAGAGAAAGCCTTATGGAGCTCTTTGCTGAAGAAACAGAGGTGAGGACATCAGTGCTTGCTCCTTTGTTTCTAATGATATCTGCAGAGAAGAATAGTTCCTTAAATTATTAAGTACCTTCATAAAATAAATTGTTCTTGTGTGGAATGTACTGTTCTGTAGCCTGATGGGTGGATTGACCTCTTCAGCTAAACTCAACTGAAGAGAAAGTCAAATGCCCTCTGGCTGAGCAGAGTGGTACAGAGAGATCTGTTTGAACTCAGTCTGCTGCTTTGCTGACGTAATCTTCTGCTTCATTGCAACTTCCTCTTCTCCTCCTAAAGGGATCTGTATTCCCAGTTCCTCAAGGAAATGATTATCCAGCCTGGGATTGCCAAAGCCAACCTGGGTGTTTCAAGGGAAGATGTGACCTTAGAAGATCATGTAAGTGGTGTTAAGCCTTTGTGCTGCAGATAATTACCCAGAGTTATAAACAGTTGTTGTGGATTCTGGACCCCTGGGCTGGTTTTGGCTCTGTTCTCAACTGTTTTGCCCTGCTAAAAACAGGAGAGACCGTTCCTAAGTACCAGCTTGGCACTTGTGTGAGTTACTGGAAGAGCACCAATAGTTCTGAAGAGAGCTGTTTTCAGCTTTGCGTATTCCTTCTCACCTTCTCTGGGGCTAGCTGCTCTCAGGCCTCCTAGGGAGAGGCTCACCAGAGGTACCTCTAGCAAAGAGACGCTCTCCTGGGAAGTCAGGTCCATGGTGGGCTCGGAGGGGGCTAATCTGAACAGAGGATATGAAAGAGATGGGAGAGTCAAGTGGGACTGTGGCATGGAAGGCAGGAGACTCACTCGTTTCTAGTTCTGCTGGCTGGCTTTTTCTTTAGTGGACCTTTTCCTGCATCTCTTGGCTTTTTACTTCCCTGAAAATTCCAAAGTGTGTGTGTGTTGGGGGAGCTAATGAGGTAACTGATCAGAAGAGACTGTAAAATGATACAACTGCTTCCATGACCAGTCTTGAACATTAACTTCTCTGCTAGCGTGCAGTTATCTGTGTGGCTGTGATCTCTGGAGGCCTTGGTGCTGTAAAACTAACATGTCTAAAACTCCTCACACTGGCAGGTTACAGTGACCTTTGAATCTTCTTGGTTAGTTGTTAACTTTGCTTCTTGTATTAGAAAACTGCTCGGATACAGGAAAGGTTGCTCATAGTAGTATGTACTTCCTTTTTCCTGGGCATGAGGGTGATGCTTAATCAGCCTTCTCGGAACTGAGATAGAGGGATGGTTGTAACTAATAACCCCAATGCCCAGGTAACTGGGTGGGTAACTCTTACCTAAGTACAAAGATCATCTCCAGCAGTCTGGAATCTGGTTGACATGGGACTGGGAACCTGGTTTGGGAACAAAGTCATTAAGAAACAGGTGAAAAGGGATTGGAAATGTTGGCTTCTGCCTCTCTAAGTGAACCTGCATGCTCACTTGTTTCACAAGCTCTGATCTGCTCCCTGCAAACTGTGTGAAGCACCTTAAACGTAGCTACTGAAAAAGGTAAACCTGATGTGCTAGGAGTGTGCTGGTACTAGATGGCAGAGGGACAGCAGAAATGCTAAATCAGTGTATGTTTAGTGAGGATTTGGATACCTGTGAAACATTCTTGTTCTGTTTCTGTTGTTTGCTTCTTCAGCCCCTCAATCCAAATCCAGACAGCCGATGGAATACTTACTTCAAGGATAACGAAGTGCTTCTCCAGATAGACAAAGATGTCAGGTGTGTGAGGAACAGTGGCTCAGGTCTCTGAACCCGAGTGGTTTGGTTAACACACTGTACTTTGAAAATCAAGCTTAATATTAAACCGAGCCTCCATGGGGCTCGTACTTCCTTTGCTGATCCTGATTTCCTTCTGTGTCCACCCCAGGAGGCTGTACCCGGACATGGCATTCTTCCAGCGCCCAACAGACTACCCCTGCCTTTTAATCCTGGACCCCCAGAATGAGTTTGAGACACTGCGCAAGCGGGTGGAGCAGACAACACTCAAGTCGCAGACAGTGGCGCGGAACCGCAGCGGGGTCACAAATGTGAGAGCTGGGGGGGCTGCCCATGGGACAAGGCATCTTAGCTCATAAGGGAAGGGTGTTTCTTGGGCTTTTCTTCTGTTTCTCTCTCTGCTTGTGCAGTGGAATTAAGCAAATACCCCCGCAGGTACTGCATGGCCAGACAGCTTTGTAGAGCCAGTTGACGTGGCTGGCAGTTAGTAGGGAATTATGGGTGTATTTAATTTCCAAGATTACCTTTTCCTGACTTCTGGAGGAAGTTGGAGTTGCAGGAAGATGAGAGTATTTGATGCTTGACGTGTGCCTTTCTGTATGGGAACAAAACACTGAAGGGGTAATTTATTGGAGTTGAATCTGCTGAAATGTTTGTTGTCTCTTCCCTCTTTCCTGAGCCTTACAGCACAAGGGCCACATGCTGTTGGGGAGGGTGGCTTGTTACCACAACAGATCTGTGCTTTTCCTCATACTACTAACAAAGAAGTGGAACTGCTGTGGTTTCCTACTGCATGGGATCAGGTGGTGCAATGATTGAGGGGAACCCAGCACTAGGGTTTCACTGCCTTTGTGCTTCCCAAGTTGCTTGTCTTGGTTTACGTGAACACCTGCCTGTTTGGTATAAGCTGCCCAAATCTTGTGGGGGCCAATGTGTATTAAAAGCCACATGTACAAAACTGTCTGTGGCAGTTGGTTATCCTGAATCAGCCCTGGTCTTGCCTTGCTTTTCAGGTGAGCTCCCCTCTTAAAACAACACCTAATGCTCTGAGCGAGTACGAAGTTCTGCCCAACGGCTGTGAAGCTCACTGGGAAGTGGTGGAGAGAATCCTCTTCATCTATGCCAAGCTGAACCCTGGGATAGCATATGTGCAAGGGATGAATGAAATCGTGGGGCCTCTCTACTACACCTTTGCTACAGATCCTAATAGTGAATGGAAAGGTGAGAGGCTTTTGGCTGCTCAGTAATTGCTGTTGTGCTGTGTGCTCCCTGCATGAAGAACTGCTCTGGGAATGAGACTCTCTTTAAACTACTGATAAGAGTAGAATGGGAGTACTTTGCCTGTTGCTTCTACTTCACAGCAGCTCTGAGGGCGTGTGCTGATGGTGGGGAGAGCAGATGATGTTCTTGGGTAAAGGTAACTGGTTTGTAACCTGATGTCATGAAGACCTTGTGCTGCACACAGGGTGTGTGTCTGCAGTGGCTCTGTAGACACTTCTAGTTGGGGAAAAAAAAGAAATATCTAGTCTTGTCCCAAACCAAGCAAGCCAAGATCTTGTGGGAACTGCTGCTGGAATCCAGTACAGCAAACCAGATTATGGAGCAAGAATATTTCTGTGTGTCTTTGTCAGTGCTGCTTCCTCTACTCCCCTGTGATTTTTATGGCTTTTTTAATTCATTCTTTTTCCAGAACATGCTGAAGCAGACACATTTTTCTGCTTTACCAATCTAATGGCTGAAATTCGGGACAATTTCATTAAGAGCTTGGATGATTCTCAGTGTGGTATTACCTACAAAATGGAGAAGGTCTACTCCACCCTGAAGGAAAAAGATGTGGAGCTGTATTTGAAACTGGTGAGGAGCTAAGTGTTTTTCTGAGTCTTGGTTGGAATGTGAGGAGTGGAGCTTAATAGTGCATTTAAATGTCAACCAATTTTGTTAAGCTCTGTGCTTGAATAGAAAGGCTGAGGGAGTTTATGAAGGGCTTTGCTGATAAGGCATAGAAACTCTTATCTGGGAGCTGAAACAACCTCTCCTTGGAGTAAGCCTAGAGCAAGCTGACACAGCCAGGCTGTCCTCCCCTGCCTGACCAAAAGCAAACAATAGTTGTTGCAAAGCTGCCAGCTGCGAGTCCAGAGTGACTTGGCCTTGATCCCTGCTCACCTGTGTTGAGGTGTTGCTGGAGTCTTCACTCTCCTCTAGTAAATAGACAAAACAGGAGTTTTGCTGCAGAGTTCAAACAAAAACCAGCCCTCGCTCCATGCACATACTTCTATTGCCATTGTCTGCCCTGACAGCACTAACTTAAACTGCAGGAGGATCATTCCAGAAGTGAAATCCAGCAAGCTGGACCCTCTCACCCACCTAATTCTATCATTCTCCTTCATCCAGAGGTCCCTGAGTGCCTTGGTGTGAGATTTGTAGAACATGTAGAAGGCAGCTTTTGCTGAGAACATCTTCAGGTCTTATTGTCCATTTGGTGTGAAAGTCCAAGGAGAATTTGGAAGAAGGGAAAGCTGTTCTTGTTATTCCAACCTTCACTAAATCACACTGAGACCTGTTTTTCCTGTAGAAAAAACAAGTTATATTTCTTTTATAGTTCAAAAGATGCTTTGTCAACACAGTGACATGACCCATGGTGTTGACTGATTCAGTGGGGACAAAATAACCTCCTACTGTTTGGCTGGCAGGAAGTGGCCTTGGCCATGCAGCAGCTGGTCCTTAAGAATACCAGCAGGAGCCTTGATTAAACTTATTGTTTAACCTTGATTGACCTTGATTAAACTTATAGTCCCTTGCATTTAACAGCAGAAAACAAGAAAGCTTTAGGCTGGAAGTGTTTACAGTGTGCTTTACTGACCATCAGTGTGAACTCTGTTCCATCTTTGTTTCTTTTTGTGAATAGTAAACCTTTTGCTAAATACAGAGCTTCTGGGAAGGAGAGGAAATCCTGACAAAACAGTGCTCTGCTAGAGGGGGAGGGCTGTGGCTTTGCAGATAAAATGCTGTTCAAATGGGAATTCCTTGGCAAGCTTAACGGAACTAACACAACTGGTGCCTTTTAGGAAGAAAAGCTTCCTCTGCTTCATGTTGTGGTCAGAGGAGCATTTTCTGGCTTGGCTGGAGACATGGAGCATGGCTGCACTGAAAATCTCTCTCTGCCTTGAATGTGAGAGCCTTCAAAGGAGGCAGTGGGTTTGTTGATGCTGTAGTACGAGTTGGCAGCTTAGAGCAATACCGGGGTGGAGACGGGGATGGAAACGGGGTGCATCTCTTACTTGTAGGGGACTGGCCAAGAGCACGTATTCATTCTTTGCCTGGTGCATGTCTGACAGCAAGAACAGAACATCAAACCCCAGTTCTTTGCCTTCCGCTGGCTGACCCTGCTCCTGTCCCAAGAGTTCCTGCTGCCAGATGTCATCCGCATCTGGGACTCGCTCTTCGCCGACGACAAGCGCTTCGATTTTCTTCTGCTCGTCTGTTGTGCCATGTTGACGTAAGTACATCCACAGCATTCCTCTTCTCTCCCCCTTCTTTACCTAAATCCGTGGATCCAGGAGTCTTCTGTAGCCATGTGTTAAGGCATCTGGTGAACAGGTGATAGTCACTGTTCACAATGGTAGCAAAAGTGTTTTCAAAAGCCTTTATAAGGGCACAGTGTAGCCTGTCTTTAAAGCTCCTCTGTAAAGAGTCAAAGGTAGCTGGAATAATTTCCATCTTTCAGACTAATCCGGGATCAGTTGCTGGAAGGAGACTTCACTCTGAACATGAGGCTGCTACAGGTAAGGATTAAATATAGTGGGTATAGGGACAACTTAAGGTGTCTTAAAATAGTACTGTGAGGGAGGATGATGCTGTGAGGGAGGATGTGCCTGGCTGAAGAGAAATAACAGATTTCTGATGTTTGCATGCAGAAAAATCTTAAGGAATCTCACAGCATGCTCATTACTGGAAGTGGAATCTTTTGCTCATGCACCTATTCTATCCTACGGAGAAATGAGCACAGGCTAGAGGTTTCTAATGTTCCTTTGGCTTGCAAAAAAATGGAAGCAAAGATGTGAAACCATGTGACAGTGTTAAATTTGTTGGCCAGAGGCTTTTGTTTAGTTCTGAGATCTGTGAGAGCCCAAGGTTGAAAACACATGCACTGCACAGTAGGAGATCTTTGTTTCTGCCAGTTCCTGCTTTGGGCTGTGCAAGATACTGGCTTTGATAAGGCTTTCTGGCGTGAAGATAGCCCTTGTAGCAGGCCAGCTTGCTGTACCCTTAGAGGACAAATTAAAAGGAAAACAAACAAAACCTTCTTGAAGGCTTGATCAGTTACAAAACAGGGAACTGTTAGCTGTTAAGGGAGTAACAACATGGCATTATATGTTATAACAGGCCAGAAATGCTCTTGCCAAGGTTTGTCCTACTTAAGTGAAACAATGCGTACCAGAAATGCTGGGTAGTCACGTAGATCACTTTGTTTCTTTCACATAGGATTATCCTATCTCTGATGTTCATCTGATTTTGAAGAAGGCAAAAGAACTTCAAGATTCCAAATAGTCCATGAGCCTAACAAAAGGTGTCAGAAAAACTGTGTGGTAGCAGATCCCAGGAGGTGCCCCCGTGCAGTGTGGAGCATTAAAGCTCCCTGTGATCTCTGCAGGACTTCAGGTTTCATGTTTGGGCTACTGGCCATCTTGAAGACTTCCTACTACTCTATTTATTAGGTCAAGGACTGATTAATTCCCCATCTACTTGGGTCCTGCACTCCAGATTTTTTTCTGTGCTGCCAAAAGCAGTTCTTTGTATCTTTTTAATGACTTTAAGTTTGAGGAGAAAGAAACCACCTGTCTGCATATCCCTGAAGGGAGGGACTCCTGCATCATGGCCGTAACACATGGAGTAACTCCTGATTGGGAAGGGACAGGCAGAGTCCAGTGAATTTTGATGGGTGAGTATAGAAGGGTCTTCCTCCTGTGAATAGAATGTATTCCAATGAAGTCACACCTCCTGCCATTCAAGTAGCTTCTGGATTCTTCTCCCTCGTGTCTGTGCTTGGCCATTCCTGGGGCGTGTAAAGAAGAAGATTGCATGAGGTTTTGGTGACTGTCATCTGACATCCTGCAGTTTGCACCCCTTTGCCTGGGAAAAGGACCTTGATGAGCTGAGAGGGGAGGATGTGATTACAGCTGGTGGCTTTGTGCACTGAAACTGCCTGAATCCAGAATCGCCTTATCAACAAGTCTCCTTGGCAGCCAGACTGTGGTTGTTTTAATCAATGAGTCAAGTGTAGTTTGAACTCAAGCCTTATTATGCACAGCCTTAGAGCAGGAGCGTGTTGCTGCAGGGAGGCCTCATCCTGCTTTCCTGGCTCTGAACTGGAGCGTATCCAGCTACAATCAGGATTCTGAAACACAAGAAATGGGCATCTAGACACGTGCAATGAAGACAGATGTATTTAGAGGCTTATACAGGCATGGCACCGGGGCGTTCTGCCTCAGTGGCTTGCATAATATTACCCTGCATAAGCTCTGGTCACAGTAACCTTGATGTTGTCTCACAGTACACCGTGCTAGGAAGAGTCGTGGTAGAGGTCTGAGCTACAAGAGTGCTTTCCTGGTGTAATCCAGTGGGCATCACACAAGGTCCTGGTGGAGTCACAGTCCTGAGCTGGACACGGGTCCCTCCTGAGAGGGAAACTGCTGCATTTCCAATAGAGTGGAGCAGGTGAACAGCAACTGAGACAAACCACGGAGAGAGCTGCTAACCTGTGGCAGTGTTGAGCTGATCAGGAACTCCAGTCCTCAGAGAGAGGAAATGTCAGCACCCGTGTGCCTGGCTCGTGCAGAAGCTCTTGAGTGAACACTAATCCATTGTGCTTTCCCCTTCCTTTCCATGCTGTGCTGCCTCACGTCTGCATAGCTGTTTGACACTGCAGTTTTTGGTGTTTATAGGTATTGATTTGTTAAAGGTCAGTCTTTGTAAGAGCTGCCTAAGCTGCTGATGGCCTAGAATCACCCTAGCAGGAGGGATGCTGCCAGCCTGCAGCTTTTTTACTGGTGTTATTTCCTTCACTGAAGGCCAGTTCTTTACAGGCTCCTGTAGTTGTCATGAAGGTGTGTGGGGAGGCTCGGGGTCAGGTTGATGCATGTACCTCTGTTCTTACTGGCAATCCTAAGCAAGCTCTGCCTCTTCAGGAGACGCTCGAGTATCCCTGTTGCAGCCCAGTGTTGCTGCTGTGGTGGAGCAAAAGCAACTGAAGACTTAAAACAATCTGTAATTAATACCTATGGCTGACACTACCCCTCTCTGCTGCACTCCTTTCTAGAGGGTAGAGTTTTCCTTCAAGAAATACGGACCCAATAGACCAGCACAGCTGTGTGATGAAGCATCCTGTCTGCTCTAACCACTGGGTGGATCTTCCTATTCCAGAAGGTCTCTTGGCACTAGAGAGGCCATTAGTCAGACTTCATATGGCCAAAGAGCTAGGTGATAGGCACAAATGTAGAATGAAAAGGTCAGACTCTTAGGGAAAATTCAATCCCCTCCAACCACTTCTGCCTCAGAACTGCTCTAAATGTGCTGTTGCTTTCTGACATTGTGTTTCTGCAGACACAAGCTCTGTTCTCACCTCCCCGAATACCTGGGCTGTCCATTTCAGGTCCCCCTGGCAAGTGCAGGGGTCCCTTACACTGTATTTTCTCACTAACAGGATCATCCATGAGGGTTCCTGCTCTGAACAACTAAAAGTCTCCTTAAAAGTAACCTGAGAAGGCAGCAGGCAAATCAGGATTAAAGCATTATTTGGAGATGAACTTGTTCTCAGAGCAATGGTTGAGCCCTGAGGTTACCCTCAGGGAAGACACTGGGAGGTGTAGGTGTAGGTGAGTACTGGTGTTGTGCTGTCTTCTCCCTTCCCAGGTGTTGAAGAGCTTAGGGGTGCTGGTAAATGCTTTTAAAAGGAGTCTGCAGTGGTTTAATGGGATGTGATGAGAGCTTTTGCTGCTGGAAAGGTTCTTTTTAGATAAATTCTCTGGCTTAATCCAGACTATGGCTGCTGATTGAGGACTTATTTGGGGAGAACTTGTAACAACTTCGGTACACCCAGAGAGGCTGGACCTTACATGAAAAGTTGTTTTATATTCCTCCTTGTCCCCCCCTGTGTGGTAACACTGTTGAAAGGAGCTGTACTTTCCAATGACTTGGGATACCCATTTCCTTATTCCAAGACTTTCTCTTTCCTTTTAAGAGCAAAACCAGATTTTCTGAGTGGAGAAAACAAAGTCTGAACTTGTTACCAGCTTTTGCATCTCCTCATGAGTTTCCTTGGCTTTGTTCCTCAAAGGCTGTTGGTGATGTTTTGCTGTTGTTGAGGTCGGGTGGTATTTATCTACCAGTTCCTTGCTTTTGTGGCCAAGTAACAACTGCTCCCCCCTTGAGATGTTTCCACCTCTGATTCATTTCAATCCTGATCTGCTGCAGGAGCAGGGGGTTGGCTGAAGCAGCAGTTCTTTGGGATGGGAGGTGTCAGTCTGGGGTGCTTTGGGGCCCCCTTGTTTCACAGGGGCCTAAGCAGGATGCTTAAATAGCTCTTGTGCTGTGTTCCCGCACTGCTGCCAGGCAGGGGAAGGGAACCCATCTTCACCTGGGTGGAAAAACAGGACACTGGGATGTGGGGCAGGATGAGCCCTCCCTGGAGGAAGGGTTCTGTCTGCTCTGCCTGCACCCGCTGTAATCCAGGCTTTGGGAAACTGTGGCTTTGCCAGTGAGGTAGAAACAACAGGGTGCTGGAGATCAAGTTGTTGATGGTCGTCACTCGGAACACTGAGTTACGTGACCAAATTATGCTTGGGCAGAGAGTGCAATGAAGGCCTCTGGTTGCTTTGGGGTGTTTGGGGAAGCATTTCCCTGAACGCGTGTCAGTGACTGTGGCAGCTGTTGGCAGCACTCTTCCAAAATGCCCTTTTCCCTGAAAGAAAGGACCAAGTAACGCTTTCTTTTTCACCTTGTCTGGAAAGACCGGCCAGAGCAGGGTGCAGGGAACACTTCAGCTCTCTTAACCTCCATCTTTTATGCTGCTTTTTTAAACGCTGGTTTTAGATCGCTTCCTTTAACTAAGCGGGTGGCTTCGTGCCGACATCTCCTGCTGGTGCTGCTGAGCTCGGGCTTCGCGCTGCTGCAGCGAGGCCCGGCTCTGCCG